TGATGACAGCCTTTGAGACCTTCTTGCCAAGCTTGACCTCAGCAACCTCCTTCATCTACACTTTGTCAGAGCGGTCCCATATGTTCAAGTGCCTTCTCTTACCTTTCCAAGAACCATGGCGGAGATCTCCTGTGGGGAAAACTCCTTGGTCTCGTTGAGATACTGGACCTGGATCTTTGGGCTGTTGTCGCCAGCATCGATGACCTTGAATGGCCATGACTCAATGTCCTTCTTGGTGATTGGGTCGCTATCATGAATATCAGCAATGCCTCCTGTCTCTCACTGCCCACATACTCGTATCGGCGACCGATCAGACGCTTTGCATCGAAGATGGTGTTCTCTGGGTTCATGGCTGCTTGGTTCTTGGCAGCCTCTCCGATCAGACGCTCCTCTGATGTGAAAGAGACGAAAGATGGAGTGGTGAAAGAACCCTGCTCGTTGGCGACTGCGCACATGTCAGATGGTGTCTCAAAGAGCCAGCGATCTCAAAAATGGGCAGCGACCTCATTGAGACGAGTGTGGCCAGCCAGCTGGGACATTGACATACTGATTTCGACCGCATTCTCGTAGACTGCAACGCAGGAGTATGTGGTACCAAGATCGATGCCAATGGCACCATCGTAAACTTCGTCGGCCATGTTTGCTGTGTTGGGACAGGTGAGAGGTTGTAGAGGATGGCGGTGGATCTCGAAAAAGGTGAAGAGTAGGAATTTCTGTGCGCGATAGCCACTAGGCCTGATTCGTTGACTGTAGAAGCTTATGACAGGGTCCAAACTCCGAGAAGTCCATGCATAGGTCTAACTACACTGCTGATTGCACCTCCGGCAACATACTGGTCCCTGCTTCAAGTTCGCGGACGAGAGACTCATGCCATCGAGTTTGTCAAGTGACGCATAGCTGACTCTGAGCAGGAGCGCTCTCCCGAGAGCAGCTATAGAGACGATGCTCAAGCGTTTGGCCTCGTTGCAGCTTTGATGCGCACATTCGAGTATCCTTTGCAATCTGTTATCGTGTAGCATGATGCGTCGGCATCTCAACTGGAAGAGACATCTCGTCGCGAGCTTGCCCATTGGTGTGACGGAGAAGCCACCATGTGCTGTGCAATGGAACCCCGAATCCTCGAATGTAATCACTACCGATCAAGCAAGAATATCGTCACGGGCACCCATTGTCGTAACGGAGAACAGATACACTATATCCCTGATACCTTCGCAGGCGTGGTTGGGCAAGCATTCCATCGACACAAAAGGGACATTGCTCTATCAGACTTGAGGCCATGACGATCTCTTGTTCCTCGCTCGATGAGCCTACTTGAATTCGTGAAGAGAGTCATGTATGGAAGCTACTCGTCTCTGTCGAATGTGCTTCCTAACGCTCAGTCAGGCAGGTTAATTCCTACATGGCGTCTAACACGACGCCTTTCATTGCTGCGATCTGCTTGGTATAACTCCACAACTGGCGGGCGCTTTGCTCAGGCTGTTGAGGCTCACTGATCTGGCTCTTCTTATAGTCCCAGAATATGCCAAAGCGATCCTTCTCTTCGATCTTCCTCCACCGCATGTATGTAATAATGTTTTGTGCTGAGACCTCTGGTGTGACAGCGAAGTAGTTCGATAATCTCATCAGCAGAGGCATACTAGGATCCAGCTGCATCTTTGTCTTCGTGCTGCTAACGCATACAGCCGCAATAGAGATAGCTTGCTGTTGCCAGCGAAGTCGAGCCTCTTGTATGAACATGAAGAAAAGATTATGCGTGCCAATGCAGGCCTTGTAGAAACCCCAGCTTGTCTTCTCGTACTGCAGATCGTTCAGATTGGGTGTCAGCATCTTCGGCGCGGGTCCTGCAAGATGTACGATTCGACCATCCCCAGATGCTGCCAGGTTGTCGCGCAGAAGGCTGTCGATAGTGATTCGAACTTGATACTGCATAGCGTAGTAGAATTCCAGGCCATCAGCCGTCATTCTCTTCTCGTTACAGGCTGTGAGCGCGGAGTGTACGACGCCGTCGAGGACAGGACTCCATGCCTGTACTTTCGCAGCCGCTGCTTGCCCTCCTTTCAGTGTCGATAGGTCACCTTCAAGAAATGCCACCTCTCCCGCTCCAGCTGATTTGAGTGTGCTCACAGCACTCTGACCTGTACTTTGACTGCGTCCGATCAGTGCTATGCTAGCACCTTCCGCTGCAAGAGCTTGAGCAGCTGCAAATCCGATGCCTGCTGTGCCTCCAAAGAACGCGAAGTGCTTGCCTTGAAGGCTGCGGAAGGTGGCCGAAGACATTGTGATGAGTTGAGAGGCTTGACTGTGACGAGTTTGAATGATGAGATTGCGTTTCGTGCTTTGAATAACAAGCTGAACAGACGGACAACCAACCTCTTATACCGTCGAGCATGGTGAGCGTATCTCCCAACAAGCCTACTGATTACCAAGCTCTTCCGAGAGGCTGAGACTACACGAAACGCCTCGTAGAATGCTTGCTGCGCATTGCGGCGGCAGAACACCGATTATGCGGATAGATGTGTAGGCACACGGTATAGTATTGACGTGCAGGAGGATGCCTATGGCACTAGAAGGTTGCATGCTAGGCCAGATTGAGAGGGTGTTTTGCGCTCACTAGTCGAACTTAGACCTGCGACATCAGTCATCAGCACGTCGTACACATCCTCGCCTGGTACTATCACCCGAAGCACGCACGGTCGGGAGGACTCAACATCTTCTTGACCGAGCGCCGAATTGTTGGTGTTGTATGATGCTCGAGAAATCGTGCGTCGCGATCTATGCGGCTCTGCATCGTCACGATCGATGTGATGATATCACCGAAGCTTGGCAGCGGTGCTAGGAATATTCTTGAATGACAGCTTCGATGTCGTCTACAACCTGTACCAATAGGTCAGCATATACAAGCAGCGCCAGCATCAGTACTGTAACGACAACCGGACAAACTAAACCACCACTCAGCCTTCACAACCATGAAGTCTGTTGAGATACAAGCCACAAGTGAAGAGATGAAGGCATGGCAACCTCTGATTAAGGCACTGGCCGGCGCAAACATCATCTCTTCGTACCAATACAAAGACGAAAGCTTGAAGATTGAGGTGGCAGATGAAGCAGCGGACGATGTTCAGGAAGGTACAGCACAAGATGGAAACATCGCATCTTGAGGCAACGTACCCGTATGGTCGCTCCATGCTTGTGAGCAGAGACGAGAGACAACAGCACCTCCGTGTTGTGGCAGTACAATCGATCAGACTATTTAGCAAGAGCAATGCTAGGACGTTTGAGCTCCATGGCCGTGCCATTCAATACATCACATCAAGTCACCCTCTGATGCTACATCAGCTATGAACGTGCGATTCACTCGTATCACTATCAAGCTCTACCATCGCTCTTGTCAACATCGGCTCGTTACCAGAGATACTCATGGTTCCTTCCCGTCCACACACCGTCCGATAGGCAATGTGCTATGGGCGTTAAGAAGGACCAACATCAGCCGCAGATACTTCGACTGCAGTGAGTCGACCTAGTGTTCTCAAGTGCTCGAACATCATCATAAGGTTTGTACTTGGTACAATTGCATTCGCCAGGCTCAAGCCCATCAAACGAGAAGGGGAAGTCAAAAGATTATAGAACATCCGTCCTAGGAGAACTACCAATGCAATGCAAGAGCGCGGATTCTTGGCAGGCGAAGTCACACGGTGGTCGTTCGGGCAAGAGATGTTCCAGCTGTGGGCTGTTTTCTGTCCAAGAACTTGTCGCATGCTTCCCTGCGGATCTGTCCTCCATGCCCAGTGAAAGAGGTCAGTCGAACAGTATTTGAGCGGTTTTGCGAGGAAGCGCGAGCTCAACGGTCGCTTGCTGCAGCATTCATGGAAGACTGATAGCATGGCTCAGAGGACCAAGAACAGTGCGGCCATGCGCTTCGCCAACAGCTGTAGCCTAAAAACTCATCGCCAAGTCATCAAAGCTGACACTTTGGAACAGTCTTTGGAACGGATGTAGAAGATCGATATCTCTGATACTGCGGTAGAGTCCTGGGATGGCACGATCGACGATGCGATAGGGAATGCTTCTGACAGAGGCTAGGGATCGTGATATTCCTGAGTCGACAACACGACGTCGCCAACACCGCGATAGAGCCTCAGGACAACCAGCTCGACCGTGTCGATGAGAACAGCTTCGGCTGGGGCGTAAAATCGCCATGGGCTTGGTCTCGGCATAATCAAACCTCCAAAACGGTGATAGAGGTCTAGGATGGCCAGAGGGAACAGCTTCGAGAAGCTGCAAGATCGCCGCGCCTTCGCACTTGATATATCCTAATCTCCGATCCGGCGGTGGCCTCCAGTGGCGATATGCAGGACCGGACGACAGGTAGGCGTCCACAGAAGAAGAGATCACTATCAACTGGAAATTGATAGATCGATATCTCCGTTGTGTCCATTGAAGCCCTCTCAACCACACCCGTCGCCGTAGCAGGGATATACTGTGTTAGATTTGCGATGCGACGGTAGATGATAATGCTGCCAGCAGAAAGGGAGGAGCTACAATTCTGGGTCCAGCGTGAAGCTGTCATCTCCCTGCTTGCCAGTCATACTCGAATGGATGCTCCTTCGTCCTGAGGATTCCTCTTGTCAGACCGCTGTACGATACCATTGAATTGAACCATCTGGCGTCAGAGGCTGCTGCATCCTTGCTCATCGATAGACGTTGGAGGTGCGGAAGTTGCTGGACCTCATCTAGACAGTTGGCTCAGCTTCCTTTCGATATCATCGATCTACAGAGCTTACTGATGACTCTGATCCTTGACACTTACAACGTGCTGCTTCGCGTGCTGGCCAAGAGCGGCCCCACATATCCTGAAACTTCTGTGTGCGCTCCGAACACTTGAAGTCCGCGCACATGATAGAACTCACGCATCTTGCGGTCAGAAAGAGTGCCATGCGGACCGCAGTGTTCGGTACACTGACGCAAGGCCAAAAAAAAGACGACAGAAACGGCCAAGTTTCTGCCTCCATTGAGAATTGAACTCAAGATCTTCGCATCTCGTTTTACAAGTGCGACGCAGTACCACTGTGCTATAGAGGCTTCTGAACCTTGTTGTCAAGGTCCTGCAACGAGCGAGCTAGACCCAATCGCGTACATGACTCTCTCCAACGTCCGAGGTGCACGATGATTCTTGCCGACTTTTGGGAAGAGCTATCGATGAATCTCGACTGAACGTAACGTGCTGGCTGGGGATTACTGTGAAAGGCAACAGACAGCTTACAAGTGCCAATAGTTCAAATCTGTTAGGGGGCAAGCCAATGCCTTTTATTTTTGCTCGCCAACGAGGTTTGGCAATCTGTGATGGCCAGCTGATGAGGCACAGCCTTGTAGTCATGCTGCTTGTGCATATCATGTTGACCGACGGTGTCGAGGGCAGATAGGAAGTGTCTTGATACGAGACGTGGAACGAGATGTGAAGAGCAGGAAGACAATTGAGATCTGGCGGCGAAGTATGAGAAGTCAGAGAGAATGTTCTGCACCAGTGAGTATTGCATGCAGTGCTGTTCGTCGGAGTTGGCAGATCTTCAGGCTCTCGACAACGACATAGCCAAGCTCCTTTGTCCAGCTGGTCAGCGAGCAGGCACAATCTCGGTGTCATGAGCAGATACGTGATCTAGTTCATCAGCCTGGGTGAACGTTGCGCGAGCTTGCGCAACAGGATGACTTGCGAACATCCTGAGCATGGCGAGATCATATGAAGCCTTCAGTGCTCCAGCGATCACAAACGCAATCCAGAAATGACCACCAGCAGCCAGAATGCCTGTGATGGTCGGACCAGCACTCTGACCCACGGTTTTGACAATATTGACAATGCCCATGACTGCTGTGCGCTCCTCTGGGAGGACAACGGCAGCCAGAAATGCACTCCTCGGCGCCTGATCCATTGCGCTGAGGCTCGATCTGCCGACTAGAAACACGACCGTAAGCCAGAGTGTGGTTGGAGCAGGAATCAGTGCTAGGAATATGGCGCTTGGCAGATGAGTGAAGACCACTGTGGCAATCAGCAAAAGCTCGTTCGATGAACGCAAACTCACTGGTTTGGATAAGACCGATCCTTCGAGCTACTGAGCTGGCCAGTATATTCCCAAAGCTCGACAATAGCTGGCAGACTCCTATGATCGTGCCGAGCCAGGCAAAGGAGATGAGAAACTTTCGCTCGATGAAGAATGCGATCAGACTCGCAGGTACCATGCCACTGCCAACCATTAGTAGCTCGTTAAAGGGAAGTACTCGTACACACCTGGCAAGAGAGTCGAAAAAGAACAGCGCACAGAGCTTCAGTACAGTTTGTTGTGACGCTGGTGAGCGTTGGAACATCGTCTTCTTCGCAGGCTCTGGAGGGTTGCCATTCAGGAGCGCCGCATGGCTCTCTTCGGGTTCTCTACTCTCAACGACCTCGCAATCCTCGCTCAATCGCAGGCTCCACAAGGCTTTGACGAAACCCAACATGGCGTACATCGCGAAGATCACTTGGTAGGAAGCTGTGGTGCCGAAGCCGAGTGATTGAAGCTCCTGAGTGAGGAATCCCGAGACTAGCGAGCCTGCAGACGTCCCGAGTGTGCCACCGACAACATAGAGAGCGAAGATGTCCGTCCTTGTTTGTTCTGTCGTCAGGTGCGCTATCGTCGACTCCTCCACCGCTCTGAACGGCCCGATCTCATTGCCACTAGGACTAATGACCCCGAATATAGCTGCTAGAAGCAAGAGCCAGTAGTTCGTGATACGCCAGAAGACCAGACCAGAGGCTGCCATGAGCAGGGAGCCCAACAGCAGGATTCGTCGTCGTCCCAGTCGATCGGCGAAGAGGGTGAGCAGGAGACTGATGATCACATCGCCTATGAGTGTAAGTGTCATGAATAGTCCAATCTCGGCTCCAGAGTGACCAAGATCAGAGAGAAACGACGCGAGAATCAATGTTGTCGAGCCGTATGCGAACATGCGAATGACACGCATGCCCATGAGAGCATGTACATCTGGACCGGAATTGAGATAAGAGTTGATGCCGAGTTCTTGCCTGAGTCTACTCGCCACTTTCGACATTGTATTGCTCGCCATGGGTGTAGAGCAGTGCATGTGTGATGTGGTGCAGCAGCGCGTTTGTGATACCAAGTCGCTTGCTCACGTCCTCATTGATGTTGACATCTCGTGTATGAAGGACTCGCGATCGTATGACGAGATACGATCGTCAGATGTGTAGACGAGCGTAAGCTGAACAATCGTGGCCACATCAATGCTGGTGGTGTTGATGAAACACCAATCTCATGACAGCTGTGTTCCAGGCTCGCCGTGGAGAAGACATGACGAATTTCGCGCGAACCATCTCCAGGACGACGGTTTGATGCACAACGACTTTCTTCCCAATCCTCCAACGCATAACGACAAGCTGCTCGACATGAACTCACAAAGCTTGCTCAAGCAACAATGCTAGACATATGCTGCATCATCGCATACAAACACCCAGACTAATGATCGATCTCGAAGCGATGTGGTGGCCACACCGCGCTCTATAGATTCTACACTATGACATAAGATTGCGATGCTATCCACTCTCAGAGATCAGAGGCCGATCAGAGTCAGTGATCGTCCTGATAGTGGTTCGACGTTTCAGGGATACAGACGAAGCACTACCAAGGGCGATCTCGACCGCGGCGAGACTGGACGGTAAAGGATCAGCCCCGGAGTCATGATGGCCCACCTTCTCCCAAGGTGTCGTCCGCAGGAAGGTTGAGAACTTGGTGCTGTAAGGTGCGGCGTTGATGACTCGGACTAGGCCCAAGATGACCACGAGAGCAGTCACTGCAATAGCTATACCATATGGCAGCCACAGATGTTGCCAGCTGTATCTATAGACATTGTAGGGACCAAATGCGGTGATAGTGACATCCTGAACGCCGGTCAGAAAAGGTGAGGTCATCATCGTGACAGTGACGTTCCGGGAGAGGTCCTCCAGCATTGAAGCCAGCGTCTGGCCTGTCGGCGTCTCATCAAATAATCTGCCACTGTCTCCGGCATAGTCGGTTGGCAGCATCAAGCGAAGCTCATCTGATAGACCTAGTCGTGAATTCAGGATTGGCAACCGTCTGAAATCTCCGAAACTAAAGCCGATGTAGCCAAAGGACAGTCTGTCGATGAGTGCCATGGAAGCGTAGTAGTCCAACACAACATTGAAGCCACTACCATTGGCGCCACCGTATTGCGGATTGAAGGAGCGCGCAGCAAGGTATTCGGTTGCGTTGAACGAGGTCACGTCCTTGTAGCTTGTCCTCACAGACTGAATGTTGTTGTGAAAGTCGAAGGTCACAGAGTACGATGCGTTGGCCACCTGACATGTGGTGATGTTCCAGATACTGTCATTCTCCTGCCTGGCATTCACACCGTTGGTAGCAATGTACAAACGAGGATTGCCGCTGAGTGTACTAGTGTCTGTTGACAGAGATCTGTCCATTGCAGAGCAGTTTAATCTGCTTGATCCCTGCTCGAGCACTATAGGAATGCTGTCGTCAACAATGCCAAAGTAGGAAGCATCGTTCTTGTTTGGCCACGACAGCCACGACGCATAGCAGAGATAAGTTTGTGGAGGATCGGCATGTGCTTGATTGCACTGCAGCCAATATGAAGCATGCCATTGCTTCGTCGAGCATTCGAGCATTGGTCCATAGAAGCTCATATCATATGTCGTGTTGGTAAAGAATTGTGGCAGAGTAGGGATTTCTCCCAATGCAGCAGTGAGAGCTGTCAGCTCGTTCGCAGCAGCAAAAGGTGTGATTAGGCTTTGGAGAACGGTTCCGTTGCTGGTTTGCGACAGTGATGATTGTCCATTGGAGAATACCGAGTACTGGCTGTTCCAGTCAAAGAGAGCTCTCGAGCCAACACTGGTCTCATTCTTGTATAGCAGCTCCACTGCCAAGGAACCAGGAGGGAAGATGGTCGCGACCGATATGCCCCAGGTGACCAGTATCAGAAGGATGAGCAATGGATATCTAATGGATACGTGCGGACGGAAGATGAGTGTTGATCCCGAGATCGTGTCGATAGTACTGATGGGTAGTGTCTTACTTAGCAGAATCTTCCAGAGCTGCTGTGCGTAAACTGTTGTCACAGCAAGCACGAGAGCGAACTTGATGATGAAAGTGAACGCTGTGCCAATGCTTGTACTCAGACGCTGATCGAATGTGCTGACGTCGTGGTTGTCCAGGCTATGGTAGAAGCGATCGTGACCAACAGCAAAGGCGACTGCGACTGTCAGAGACAAAAGCATAACACATCGTGCATCGGTGATATAGTCCGCCCATTGACCACGATGCATGACTGTTCAAGATACGGAGGCCACACAAGAACATGTCTATGATGCATTGTGCTGTTTCGTGCCGAAACGCAAGCGCTCGATTGTGTTTCGGGGGCCAAAAGGTTGCATATCGACCGTGTAGATAGACTTCAAGATAGGCTTTGAGCCAGTCGTGTCTGGCCATGGCCATTGTACATCGCTATACCGCGTTAACCTCGACGTCGCCATAGGGTGGCTGGGAGGTCCTCCAATTTGTCCTGAGTGCTCACTGGGGGCGGTAGGGAATGCTTTCAGTGATTGTATTGCCGTGAGATGTAGGAAAGAAAGGGTGCAAGCTGGCTGAGCTTCGCATATTTTTGTGGATTCTTGATGACGAGCGCACCGTAAAGGATATTAACATGTACTACATCTCGACAACACTGATGCAGTCTTACCACCACAGTCGTAGCATCCTCTAGACCGTATTCAGTCTATACATTCTCAGGAACTAATGCTAGAATCATAGATCTGCTCCAAGCCTTGTTTATCCCAGGTCGTCTTACCAGTAGCGACATCATCACGGACCTTCCAGTACTTATGGTTGAAGTCCCAATAATCCTCACCAGTGATAGGATGCTTGGCCTTTGCGAACCAGTGTGGCTCAAACTCGTCGCCCTTGGCCTCACGAACTCGTCGCCTGGCACGTTGGGCCTCCTCAAGACGAACCTTCTCGTCAGCAGCAAAGTCGTACTCTCCCTCCTCCATAGCTCGCTGA